AWKGGATTGACTRTATTATCATGMTRGCATACGTGCTTTGCAAAGTTTCCGTAATATTTAATTTGAATAAATTGTCCTTGTAATAAAAATCCTAATATATAACTGTACCATATATACATATCGCTTTGCAAAAATCCTGAAAATACAGCAATTTGYAAGAATTTTGACGCCCTCTTCCATACTTCAAATATATCAATATAACCTTACATATTATGGGATATGATCGCTGATATATTTCTGGACTGATGAGCTAGTCCAGTACGAGTACTTTCTAATAAAAAATATCAGCAAAATGGCATCCCATAATCATCTCGGTAAGCTGACCTTGATATATAGACAGACAGAAGATTTCATTTGGTGCACCTTGATACATTTGCATTGTCCAAATAATGACAATAAAAACTGGTGCAGAGGGGAGCGGTGGGGGGAATTTTTACAAATAACTGTATCAACAATTTTCACAAAGAAAAGTGGCTTAAAATCTGATTAGATGTTCTTGTTGATATGACATTSAAATATCATTTGGATTTAACATTTTGACAAAAAATATAGTAATTATAAAAATATAAGCATTTTTCAAATTACGATACTAGTATGTGCATATACAGATATTGTTGACTTTTTCAGGAGTTTTGCAAACTTACTATAGCGATATGCTATTATTTATCTAATATAACTACATGTTTTACGATACTTTCTGTACCTGTTATACATTAAACATCAGGTTTTGCTTGGTTCTTGTGATTTCAATCATATGAAAGAATTCCATACAGTTCTTAATAATTCCACGATCAAAAGGGTTTGAGAACAGCCCTGATGGTCCTATGAGGTACTTGTAGCGTCTACGGTTTAATCTTTCATTYGTTGTAAGGTTTACAGTAATTTGATGAGCCTGTGAAATGTAACAATCATTAAGTATGAGGTAGTGTGCAGCGACGCCATTTTGTGCAACAATGCATCATTGGAATATTGTAGTTTTCGTATCTTTATATTGCCCCTAAAAGATCGTTTCTATGTTTTCGTAGTAGAAACGGTGSAACTTCTACCATTTTTGAAAAGAAAAAGGAAAAAACGGCTCAGAACGACTGTTTTAGCCGCGGACATGAAAAAGGTCGATGACTACAACCCCCATCATGCTTTGTTGCACACTACCTGTTGGTTTCTAGCTATTACAACTATTCTCATGAATCTATTCATTCAAATAATAACTTCGATAATATCACATTAGAGCTAACATGCCGATATCATGCTCGTACTCGAGAGCTATTAAACTCCTTCAGGTTTTAGAGAGGTCCAGTATTGTAATCTAGAGTTAATGGTGTTAAAACGCAATTTGTTACAGGTCATTATATAGCTATTTCAAATATAAACAAATATAACTGTTGATCCAGTGTTTTAGCTGTTTTCTCGCTACTTTTTTGTTTTAGGGCTACTTGGACGAAAATTGCGAAACATTAGGAAAGACTTGGAAATCAAATAGAACTATCCATATGGGTCTAATAATCATRAAGCAACARAKTTTAAGAAGATATTGATACAAATCCTTAATAATTTGGGCAAAAAATGTTGGAGTAGATGACGTCATTTACTCCATCCTTTTGTTCTTCCATCTTTTGAATCAAAATTTCTCTGATGTGGGACAATTCCAAAACAAATATTTTCCAGCAATTGTTTTTAATAGATATATGTGAGTCATATATTTGTATTGCTTGAAGTTTTGAAATAAGGCCATTTTCCTTACATTACTGTACAGCAATATAGCGTAGCGAGGAGGAACGAGTCCGCATAGCATTTCGAGCTGATGTTTCATCGAGATAAAAGACCATTTTCATTAATAATGTCGTAAGCAGAGATGGAGAAGGAATCAAATCAAATCACGCATGTTGTAAACAGCGAACGGCGGAAGAAGCACGTAAAAATCGGCAATGAAGAAAACAGAGTAGCAAATGAAAACCTTCCCCTTCTGCTTCCCTCGCCGCCTTCGCCTTCGCTCAATTCACATATGAGAATCAGCCTACAGTCGTGTACAGTCGTGTTTGAATATTTTCAAACGTCAATTTGCAATCTGTTTTCATCCGTCGGTTTTAAGGTCGAATATTGCAATATCTCCATTCAAACAGCATAAAGGCATATTAACAGAGTGGGTTAGGCTAGTATTAGCTTAAAATTGAATGTATTCTTATATTCAAACATAAACAAAAATTCGTAAGGGATGCCGTTTGATATCATATAGCGCACAGGCAACCCAAGCTAAGCATTTGACTGATTTAGCGATATCTATAATGCATGTAAGTATGAAAATTTTGAAAGAAAAAATARGTAAAAACACGCCTTACCTTATGATGGGGTTTTGTAGCTCTGAATTAAGGCGTAATTTGCCGTTTTTCTTGATATCTCTCCCTCTACACTTATATCCCTTTCATAATATTTCATATTTACATGCATTATMGATATCGTTAAATCAGCTATTCAAATGCTTAGCTTGGGTTGCCTGTACTTAGCGCTCAATGTTTATGTCGTATCATACCTGAAATATCACCAGTGCAAGCATCAGGASGGTGACTATTGTAAACTCCAGGAAACCAATGACATATATAATACTAAATCCATTAATGTTTAGCATGATAATCGCAAAATATACAGATAGGATGGTTAACAGGTTTATACAGACAGTGAACAAGAAGAAAGGTGCTCTAAAAATAAAACAACAACAAAAAAACAATCGATTATTATGAGAAAATATCAACTAATTAAAACTGTATTAAAATTCACCAAATTATTTTCAAAGTTTAGCATCTTAGTTCAAGTACTCAATATCATTATTTATGTGTTTTGTAGATTACTAATTATTACTCTGCAGTAAGTAACAAAGATTTGTTGCAGGTTCACTTTCAAGTGATTGACATTGTAAGATTATGAGGAAAACCGAGTTTAACCCTCGTGGTCACTATGCCCTTAACGGGAATGCTCCAGACCTCATCAAAAACAAAAGAAAGCACGAGAAAATGTTGCAATTACAATACCCACAACAATTTGTTGAGGCTAACCCTCTATTMGCAAAAGGCTTAATAAACCTTAGGCCCTTCTGGGAATAAAGGGTTAGTGTCAAACAACATTTTTTCATGCTTTCTTTGTGTTTAGTAAGTTCTTTGTGCAAGAGAATAAAAAAGAAATCAAATCAAATAAAACAGCGGTTGTTCACGGACCAATTTAGTTCAAAACCAKTAGCATCCARTGGARATAAGCCCTACCTATTCTGTAGACCAACACAGTTGTTAATGTAAGGACAGTGATGATCAAATTGCATAACACAACGATTACAAGTTCTACAGTGCTTAGCACGAAGTGGTCGCACAAGCCGACATGTATGGCAKAGGTTTTCCAGAGGATTTTGTCCTGTTTTTGCTTGCCATTCATCAAAAAATGGCACCTAAAAAGAGAACAAAGATAAAGTAAATCCAGAGAGAACTATATTAATAGATTATTCTAAGAATTCAGCATACATACCTGTTTTAAACACATGTCGTAATCTTCAGTATTACACTTTAAAAATCCAGGATCTCTTGAATTGGCAAAATATAGACACACCCACATACAAATATTCATAACTATGAASAGTACATGGGCACCRTGATGTGTTTCCCATGTTAATGGAAGGCACTRAAAACATGAAAATATGGGGATCAATAAGAGACAGTGAGACAGACACAAAAATAAGAAAGAAGGGTGGACTTATTACAAACTGACAGAAAAGTTAGCTGATTGATTGACAGACAAATAGACAGACACAGTCAAACTGATTTAGGATGGACACATGCACACACATGTTATAGTTACTAATGATAGGAGAGTAATCATCGTCATCATCATCATCATCAGTGCCATCATCATCTTCATAATTATTGCCATCATCATCTTCATCATCATCATTATCATCATCATATTAATGGAATGATGGACAGATAGACAGCATGATTGGCAGGGTAATATTTCTGTTGTTCTGATAGAATATTATTAGTGACTGCTCTTTTACTTACATCATAAAAATACATGGGATATCCCCACAAGAACAAGTTACCAAAAAAGAACAACAAAGCCACCCTTGACCGACCTGGAGGTCCAAATATAATATCCCTAAACAAARAYAACAGAAAAAGCTTGAGATATTGARAATATTATGGCACTAATRCTACAAATTATAGCCACTCATTCAATGAATTATTAATGAATATTTGACATRAAGTTAAAACGAGATACCTTAGACTACATTTGACAAATCTATTCAGYTTGCTTTGCATGAAGTGAACAACCTCATGGTGCTCACGACCAACAGCTAACATCACAGGTGTCTTGCCATTATTATCAACAGGATTTAGTTCAACATCCTAAAAATGTAATTTATGTCAGAAAACAAATGCTACTTTTTACAGGTAACTTTCCAGTTGTGGACGCCCCGGCATTATAGATGCAGGATACTACATGGACACATACAGAGATCATACAGTCCTCTAACTTCAACTTAGAATTAAAAAAAAGATCCTTCACTTGTGGGAGACTTTAAACTTGGGCGTATGAAATCCTTATCTTAAAACAACCATGCAATAATGTATTTATCAATAATTATTCATGGTGAGACAAAATAAATTGATGGTTGCGATCGTGAAAAAAATTGTCATTCTGACACATTTCAAGCTGATAAGCAAATTAGTTTTTTTACAACTTCTTTACTGCATATTTCAGACATAGTTCCTTGCATTTCACTTCTGTATAGAGTTGAACAAATGTGTATGTAATAATAATTGAGCTGTATCAAAATGACTGCATACCCTTTTTATAATAATAATGATCATGATAAAGAATTATCAAAATATAAAATTAATAAATCTTACCATGTCCACAATGTGTTCAACTGTCAACAGGTCTCCACTCAGACATGCTAAGTGCAATGGTGTCTAAAACAATAAAAATACAATAATTTCTTGTGGGTCATTGTGTATGCTAAAAAGATATGGACGATGAAATAATCATGAATAAATCATCAAGAAAATATCTTAAAAGAAGTATTCTAAAATACTTAGGATACTACGCGCGCTGTGATTGGTCGAAAACCATGTTTGATTACAGTATCAAAACACGCTCGCGCGCGTCAAAAATTTCTTTTATTCTTTTAATTTTAGAAAAGAAATAAAAGACGGAATTCCGTGTTTGATACTCTGATCAAAACACTTGGGATGTAGGGAGAGCACTCGAAAAGCTGGAAACCACTCCGCTACGCGTCGTGGTTTCCTACGCTTCTCTCGTGCTCTCCCTACATCCCGCGTGTTTTGATCAGAGTATCAAACACGGAATTTCGTCTTTTATTCCTTAAATAAAATATAAAAAACGTTTTCTACCAAAATAACTGGAAAAAAGGAAAATTNTTTCCCCCTTTTCCCTCTAATTTTRTTGTCTCTGTCTGATTAAAATTATGAAAAAATTTTATCTCCATAATCTTAAAACAATGTTATTCGTGATAAAAAAGGTGAAAGACTTTAATTATTACAACAGGGAAATCTAGTTTAATATTATATTATATATCATACCTGTCCAAACTTATCTTTTTGCTTTGGATCAAACCCTGAGTACAATAGAAGCTGGACTGTCTCACTGTTACCTGCAATGACATTTGGTAGAAATGTAAGCCCTCTTTGGTCAGGACAATAGAAGCAAAAAACAGAGGGAAAAGAGTCTAAAGGCCTTCTGAAAAATAGTCTATATCGATATTAAAGAATCCCGCTGGACCATAATTTTAATGGGCGTTAATTAGCAAGAGTCTGTCATAGCAGGTAGTGGATAAAACTCATTTGGATAATGTCAATTATAAAACTCATTAATATTCATAAGGCAAAACACAATAAAAATCATAGCCCATGAAGAGAGTTGTATATTACATACAKATTTCTTGTTCATTTGCATAAACTGTTTTGAATTTTTTTTCAAAAGTTTCYTTAAAACCTGAGCTAGTTTACCTTCAACGTTTCATAAGTAATATACAATATTCATGTGCGATCTATATGAGGTTTAAAASAGCTCGCTTTCAGCTCACTKTTTTAAATCCTACAGATCGCCCGCTCATATTGTATATATTACTTATAACATTATTGCCTCCATAGATTTTTATGAATAGGATCTACTTGATAATGATCAAGTCTTCATATACCCAGCTCCAGATTATTTAGATAATTCTCAAACAATAATCACCTTTGAATGCAGCCCAATGTAAAGAGTTATCTCCCTCACAGTCCGTCAAGTAAACCTTGGCACCTTTACCAATCAAATACCCAGCCTGCATTGTCCTACCATATTGTGCACTAATGATTAATGGTGTACAGCCTTTATTGTCAGCACAATCAACGTTAGCTCCATTTTGCAATAACAAATCTACAGCCATTATGTGACCACTGACRCATGCCCAATGGATTGGGAAAGGTCCGTAATCGGCCTTGCTTTGTCTATTGACATCTGCACCACAGTTCAGAAAGAACTTGATTACTTCTGTTTGGCCACCAAGAGCAGCCCAGTGTAAGGCCGTATGACCTTTTTCATCGTGCTCACTTAGAATTTTGATGCCATGTTCACTCACAAGGTTGCGGCAAACTTGAATGTTCCTATTCATGTATAAAATGYGYTRTCTCAAATTATAGTAAAATTTAAAATWCCACCCAAGGGTGGTGTTTCAGTAGAGATTAGGAATGGGCTATTGCATCTGGSTAAGAGGGAKGAGKCATAAATATCCTTCCTTGCRTTTTTTGYTTGAAAACATTTCGATGTTTCATATTAACTGAGCAAAAATACAAAAAAAGAAGCAAAATGGTCTTCAAAATATGTTTATGTTTTTTTTCTTAAATACGCTTTTAATAGACATCTGAACTTTATTTGACAACAAACCAACATGTATCAATATGTGGAAATAAATACAACATAAAAAAGAAAATATGTTTTCAAACTATTTACTTTAGCTGTGGTTTATCTGAGTTCAAGATCTCGTTTGAGGTTTTACCTGATCAGTGGGTCRTCAGTTGAGGTGAAGTTGTGGTGAGAAAATTTTCAAGAAATTTCAATTTTACGTACGCAATCGAAAGGAAGCAAGAGGCTGAACTGAAACCACTTACCCAACTTGAGCAGCTTCGAATATTGTGAGCTCCTTGGCAGGCTTTTTAAGATCAGAACTCGAACAGCATTCATCCTTGCATTCGGCCGCCATGTTGCTTTTATCTTCAGACTGACACAGGAAGCCCGAAGCTATGTCCAACAATAACGAAACTAAAATGTACCCATGGAAAAGACAAATTTCTAGTTGAAGAACACGCACTTTACTTATTCACAACGATGACGGAAATATATGTCCTAAGTGTTAACGAAAGTTAAGCAAGGGCGCTAGAACTGAAATTATGACCTATAAGATCCAAAAATTGCTTAATTTATCCAACAAAAGATAGTCGATAATAAATTATAAAGTTTTACTTATCTGAAATATACACTGAAATGTCCTCTTAGACACTAAAAAGCACTTGATTTTACGAAATTCATCCAAATGATCGTTGCTCAAGCGGTTGTTGCTAAATTTATTACCGCTGTCCTTGTTGTACCAGCCACTGCTGTCTCGCCAGGAACGTTATTCATTAACCGGATTAAAATCACTTTGCCCTGGCCGAACACCAAAAGAGACAGGGGCAGGCAATAACTAGCGGCCCCTTTGACCACTCGTCTGACTCACTAATCGGATTAAGTTGACAGGACCTAGGGACACTGATGACAGATTAGTCCTGGCCGAGCGAGTCTTCGTAGGCCCGAANASTCTTTCCAATTGTTGCGACAATACTTATTCTTCCAATACGAAAAATTGAAGTGGAAGCAAAGACAACCCCGCTCATTGACTTGATGGACGAGAGATGGGTCAATGTAGTTGTGTATTTCATCGCATTTCTCGTGATCTGTTCTGTTTGGGAATCGCATGTCAACAGATTTCGTATCCTTTCTCATGTGGACGACATATTAGTTTGGTTSAATCTGGCTTCMCTTTTGTTTGTATGTTTTCTCCCATTTACCTGCAATCTGGAGGGAACGTTTTACCTAAAATACACACCGATTATCCTGATATGTTGTGACCTCTTGATCCTAGAGCTGCTTGAGATCGTTATTATATTCTACAGTTTCAGCAACGCGGAGCTTTTAACACATGAAATATTAGAGTTGCCAGAAGACCAACAGCGGGAGCAAAGAAACTACATGCTACTCAAGAAGRTAGTCAATCCTTGTTTGTTCATTTTGTCTGCAAGCCTGAGTCTTGTCCAGAAAGAAGTTGCATGGGTACTTCTTGGTATAGTTATCATCTCTCCTTGCATCCACCGTTTTCTTGGATTCTTGTTTCGCCATATCATGAACATTCGYATGGGKAGAGTTGACTTTGATCGCATGTTTGGAAACCATATYGACACTGAACGTGTAGAGTGTTTCAGTGATGGTGCTTTTGCAATAGTGGCAACACTCCTTGTGTTAGACATTACAGCTGAGGATTTTCCAAMCAAGGAAGAAGTTGCAAAAGATGGGATTGAAAGATGCTTGTTACACATGTGGAGGCAGTTCTTGACATTTGGCGGCACTTACATTGTGGTTGCTCTACTATGGTTTGTCCACCATTCCTTGTTTCACTACATCAAAAACATGAATCAGGTCATGCTYGTATGTAACAATATTTCCCTGGCATTCATGGGTTTGACTCCTTTAGTTTCAGCAGTCATAAATAGGTATGGTGGTGATGAAAGCACWGATGACGATGAGATTCTTGCTGTTCGCTTCAGTTCAGCTGTGGTGTTTGGTGCCAGCATTGCCCAGGGTTTAGTTTTTGTTGTTGCATTAATCAAAGGAACAGTTCTCCTAACCACTGAAGCCAATCCAAGAATGTCTCCAAGATCTCATAACTACTTAGCGGCAAAGATGTGCGTTCTCCCACTGGTTAGTGCTGTTGTATATTTCACCAGCTTTTCTACAGCGTATGCGACTTATATTGTGTACCACTCAGCATTCCTTGCAACACCAATTTTATTCATCATTCTTAAAGTTGGTTTTGGTCGAGGCTCAAATAACATGACAATGGACATCCCAATTTCTGCTCAGGCRGATGACATTGGTCAATGGGCTCCACCTTCTAATCGTAGACCAAGAGCTTCTAGAGCCAAGCAAGTTGCTGTGTAGACTAAGAATGACTGAAAACTAGTGATGAGCTTCAACATGKGAGAATACATTGGAGTACATAGAAATTAGACATTACAATAAGGTTAACTGTTCCTGTATAAGTCTGCATTACAACAACAAGAGTCGTGTTTGACAAATTTGTGGTTTTGTAAGCATTTTTGATTGGGTAAACAAATACCATGGTTACCATTTGGCATTTGGTTGGTTTCAGTATTATATCTTCAGTATTTAAGTCGGAATATTTGCCAATATAGAGTCATCCAAAGAATGCTCGTCAAAGAAGACCAGAAGGCTCACAAACACTTGCCCTCTTCAGGGTAAACTTTGATCAACTTTAAGTACTTTTGAGAAGTTAGTAAAATATTCATCTTCAAACACTGCCATTATGGCACTTATGATGTGATATTATGAGGAATACTTGGTGCAGGTAGACATGATATATATGTCAACTTAAAAGTTTACAACTGAGGATAGATAGTATGTTAATAACAATATTTGTACCAAATATTTAGAATTATAGTGACTACAATTTTTAAAATTTAAAATTTTTAAAAATTTGTAATTATAATGTTAATTTAGTTCTCGACATATTGTCGTAGAGTGGCTACAACACTAAAACCATGAAAATAATAATAATAATAGTTGCATGCTTATAGCAGCAGGTTCTCTTTTAATTAAGAATGATTTTCTAAAAGCAAGGGTTGCTAACCTGTGAAATGCTCAATGATTCTAGATTATTGCACTTTGAAACTTGAATAGTACTAAATTATACAACTTTATCATATAATTATCTATGAAATACCTATATTTCTCCATTTCGTAAACTTGATATTTTCACTAGTGAAAATAACACATTCGGGGTTTCTCTATATAGTGGAAGTAAGAAAAAATGTATTTTACGATATAATTTGCTTTCATATACAATTATATGATAAATAGAATATTACATGGTTGCTTGGAGTTATGAATTTTACCTTCTCATGTTGAAAATCTCTGAGATCTTTTCAACACTCAAAGATAAAATCCATATCTCTGCGCATCCATTTAATGTCCTCTATATTAGTACTTTTTTCATGCTTTGAGTGTTTGAACTCATTCAGCTCAACTGCAGTTTTTAACTAAAAGTTATTATTTTTTATAAAGGTTATTAATATTAGCATATATTATTGTAGTTATTAGATTATTATAATAGTAAATCTGTTATTATGTTATCATTCATAAATTATAGTGGTTTTTATTGGTCACCCTCTATTAGGCGGTCACCTATATTAACTTCCCAAAATTTGACTCTAACATTTACTGTACACTTGACCTCTATTTAAAAACGGTCACCTCTATTAAGCGGACGCGGTCACCCTTTTGACTTTCCCAACCATGCATTTTCATTGTTATTTGCCTTTATTAAATGGTCACCTGTTGCAGGATAAAAATTCAGGTGAGGGAACGTGAAAAATATTACGAAAACATGAAACAAAAAKCGTCAGTTTACATTGTAAGTAATTCTGTAGTTGCATACTAGAGTGTAGGCGTCGAATTCTTCTTTGTTTAGTTTCTGCTTTTGCCAACTACAAGAAAGCTGTCAYCTTTAAATTGATATTGTCAATGATGCTAAGCCAAGTTAGCGATTTACTTCGCCAAATAAAGCTTCAAAGTGCGAAGACACAGACAACCTTCGACGAATTCTTTCATTAAACTGTACAGTACAATTATCTGTGTATGTATTAACTTGTACAGTACTGTTACCTACTGTATTCTATTCTACTGTACTTACTGTGTACAGTATATCTATCGTATAAACTAAACTTATCAACATTGTATTAAGCGTTTATACTCCTTAAAACTCAGAAGTACATAACTATGTACTTCTGTTAAAAAATAAAACTACATTACATTAAAATTACATTATTTTTGCCGCGTAAGCTAAATTTTAGTCAACCTCTATTAAGCGGTCAACCTCTATTAAGCGGTCACTTGGTTTCGACTGTAACTATATTATCACATAATTATCCATGAAATTCCTATTTTTCTCTCTTTTAAAAAGTTGATATTTTCATGTGATATTTTCATCATATATATTAATATTTTCAACTGTGAAAACATCAACTTTTCACACAAGTTTATTGTSGAAGGCTAGGGGATTCCCCMMAAAWATTATGATCGTTTAACGAGCTATTTTATCACAGTTTTCAAAGCTGTAGGTTTTCAAGAGTCAACRCTATGTTATTTGATTCATCGATCTTTTATTTTACAGTGTTGATTTTGTTATTGATTACTATTCACAAAGACCGCGGTTGTGTCATTGAAAAAGGGAATTTTCCCCCTGCTTGTGYTAATAAATTTAATTTATTAATGATAGAGGGGGTTTTCCCTCGAATTCATCAAATCTCCCCCGCTTAGCGCATTGTAATCTTCAACCCCAATATAAATGAAAATCTTCCCTTTTAGCCTTTTTAATTATAAGAGGAAAGCAAGCCGATCTAAAGTGCTTCMTCTAGCTCAGTGTAAGCTCTCAACTGAGCAAAGATGTCCTCTCTACTTGTCAAAGTAGTCGCTTTTTTATTCGTAATGGATTCCTTTGAATTCTACATTGATGCAAGCAAAGCAATTCGTTTGCTWTCAGTGGACAAAAAATCTGGCAAGTTCATACTTAACCATGATGCGTTGTCCCTGCTCAAASAACTTCCTTCTCGATCTATAAAAGTAGTATCCGCCATTGGTGATGCCAGAGTTGGCAAATCAACGGCTTTAAATTACCTCGCGCACTCGTTAAATGGTTTTACCAGCGAACAAAAAGTGGRAGAAGTGTTTGAGACAGGAGATACGATGGAACCAGTGACGCATGGAGTTTGGYWGTCGTTAGAGCCCAAGCAAGGTTTTGTATTACTGGACGTGGAGGGAACTGATCTCGGCAACGACGAACAAACCACTAAACTAAGTATATTCACTGCTCTAATGTCGTCTTCCTTGATGATTTTCATGAAAGAAGCTCCGTCCAACCACATTCTTCAGTTCTTGTACAAAATTTGCCGAGTGAGCGAGAACGTAGTGAAAGAGGAGGACATGAAGTACTTCCCTCTTTTGCTCCCAGTAATGAGAGGAAATCTTAAAGTTCCCAAAGGTTTCTCGTCGACAGCTGATTACATCAAAGACGTTTTTACAAATATCGATACACAAGAACAAGAAGGAGTAGCTGTGCAAAGGACTATAGGCAAATATTTCCCAAAGGAGACAATAAAAGTATTTGAATTGCCTTATGTGGAAAACATTTCAAAGAACTTTGCAAGCGAGTATTTTTATCAAATCCGCATGATTTATCGCAATCTACTGAATGCATCTCCAGATAAAAAAACACCGAACGGAGGTCAGATGGATGGGAAGGGTTTGGCATCACTTGCTAAGCTCTTGGTTGACGAAATGAATAATAATAAAGACTGG